AAGAGTGTGTTTGAGATTTAATTCCTGAAATCTGATGTGCAGCAGACTAATGAGAGGAGGGGGCTGCACTAATGGAGATAAGAGCTGAGGGGATGAGTTGCAGGATTTACTGTCGAGGTAGTTATTCTATAGTGACACTGCTGGATTGGTATCTGGAGCAGTGTGGAAGAAAGATGCTACATGGCACAACTGAGAGGTATTATGAGATGGATGTCTCCGCCCATGGTCCCCGCCCCCCCAGAGAGGAATAATACCGGTCAAGTCACTCGGCAGATGAGGGGACTGACTGTGGTGGGACCAAGACTGGGATGAACTGAACAGATATTAGGACAGCAGGAGGACTTTCTGATTTGAAACGAGTTGAACGACTTGATAGAAACTCATGGAATAAGGGCTCTGAATGACAGATATCTTTTTTTAATAATTGTTAGGACATCATGTAATGTGCAGGTATTGTTGCTGAAACTTGAGATTGGAAATATACGGGATATTTTAAAGGGATGTTTCTTTTTTGCCTTTTTGCCTTTTGCACTCAACAATGATGTCTTTGATTGATCTTCTGAAGCAAAGATTCACTTTCAGCACTGAAAGCCAGAATGTGTTTTCATCAGTCAAGCAAATGATCGTCATTACTGGGACCTCTCCGCCTCTGAGGATAATTCTCTAGGAAAGCATTTAGCCCACTGTTTGCACCATGCCTTACCATGATGAAGAGTACCCTGGTCAGCCTCTGTGGCAGTCAGTGCTGCTCTTCTGCTGTAAGGGGATGATCGAGGGCATCATGGTCGTACTCTTCTTCTGGCTCCTGGTGCAGGTCCTCTTCACCAAACAACTGGAAGGTACGGTCTTAAAGGATCATGTTTATCTCATTATAAAATAATGGTTATATGCCTATAAATATATTAGAAGAGATGACTGGACTCATTTATCCTGTACATTCTGGCAGTGAATAGATCTAGTGATGATTCCTGTGTAAACGATAGGGGACCAAAGGACAAGATTCAAATGTCCTTGTTCTGTGAAGCCAAAGTTAATGGGGCATCATCAGGCCAACAATTCAAGAAGATCTTCAGAAGTTACTACAGTTTTTTGTACAATATTCGCTCTTTGTTTTACAATCTATCCTTCATAAATCAACAAAGAATTTCAGGGGTAAAATATAGATAATTTAGAATAACTGTATTTTTGCACAGATGGATTATGGTTTCTATCTCTTTCACTGGATACAGTGGTTAGGAAGGGGTCTTATAAGGAGGAATGAACATAAAAATACTTGTGATTGATGTTTTATGAAAGAATTGAAAATGCAAAATATGTAATGCTGTAATCCAAGGCCTGCATTAGAGTAAGAGAATTTTAAATCTCCTGCCATCTGACTGCCTTTATTATTCTCCCTCATGTCTACAGTTCACCTACAAATTCTCCTCTTGGTCGGCCTCATCGTCTTCTGTCTCTGTCTGATCCTGGGATGTGTCCTGTGCTGGAGGAAAAGTCAGATTTGTTCAGCGAAAGACAAAGATCCTGTGACGCCACCTCCTGCTGAGCCCGTGACCTTTGCCCAGAGCTCACCTCCCTCAGCAGCAACAACAGCATCCAGGCAGCAGTATGAGGAGCTGGACGGAGACCTGCTGGAGTATCCCTCCACTTTCACTAGCCCTGCCCCTTCGGAGGGTGAATGCCCCTCTCTGCCGTTTCCTAATCAAGCTCGAACTGCCTCTGAGCAGAAGGAGCAGCAAAAGTCTTATTTTTCCTTTCGCCGTCTCAGCACACCACCACTAACGTCACCGCTGTATAAACCCATAGATCCCAGCCACAGTTCCCTGCCCATGTTTCCCAAGCTGGCACTATTGTCCAAAACATGTAATGCTCTGCAGAGGCGGTGCAGTGTCACTGGAGACAATATATCTTATAGTGAACACAGCAGGCTCACCAGCCCTGGTGCTTTCTCTCCGTCAATGCCTGAGGAACCAATCCCACTGGCTCCACTGATCTATGGCTCCAGTGCCAGCTGCAAACAGCCAGCATCACAAACACCCTGCCTCCATTTCACCATGGCCTTCTCTCCAGAGGAGCAGACCCTGGCAGTCACCGTCTTCAGCCTCAGTGGGACGCCTCACAGACTGGAGGACGTGTCCGTGCTCGGCAGCCTGCCGCCTTTGTACCCCTGTCCCACACAGGCCTCTGTCCAGAGCCGCCTCAGCACGGAGCCACGCAGCCTGGTCCTGCTTTTGAAGGTGAACTCTGTGAATGAGCTCCAGAGGTGCACGCTCAGAGCAGCTGTGTACACCCGAGAGCCGCAAAGCCTGGGAGGCACCACGCTCGGTGAACTGGAGGTGGAATGTGGAGGAACAGATTGGAGAGCAGAGCATCCAATTCATTACACGAAAGAACTAAAACCAAACAAGGGGAAACAAAAAAAGGTAGTGGCTGGTTGAAATAATATCATTGAGTCTGACAGTATATTTTTGGATAGAGAAATGGCCAGATTCACTTGTTACAAGGCCCAAGAGCAAAAATCTGTTTCTGGGCCCCTTTGGCCCTTTTGGGCACATTTAGGACTTGAGGTCTACATTCGGGTTCGATACAGAGACACACAGTGAACCTGGGGGTGTGGGGGGTCCTGCATTGCATGGGGGTTACCAGTTAAAATGACCTGCTAAAACTAATAAAGAAATTGATGAGCTTGATTTCTGTGCTCAGTAATGTCATGTCATTCTCTTAGATCATTTCTGTGTTGTCAGTTTGCTACAAAGCAAAATTCTCCCCCCTCCCCCCCGACAGACTCTTTGTCCCTTCTTTGTTGAACTTTTGCCCTCTTCCCTGCAGAGTTTGATCTCCCAGCATACACCGACACATAAGGGGCTTAGCTGTCCTCCGCAGATCTTCATTTTGCTGCACTATCAGTCCCTGGCCCACCGGATCAAAACCACAGTCCTCAGAGCGGATAACCTGGACAAACTTGCATACATGTCAGCAGCACCAGGTAAAACTGGCATTTATCCTCAGTTGAATTTGTTTAAATATGTGTTCGACTTATAGGGATTCCATAAGGGCATGCTGCATGGAGACATTATGTAAAATTGTGTGGACCTAACGTTTGCCTTGCAGGGACAGAGGTAAAATAATTCCCTATGTTTGCTTCTAATGTTTGAGGGATTAGATGATGTCTACAGGATGTGAATGCCGCTGGAGATCATCCCCTTTTTTTAATGACATTGTGGTTTAATCCTTCACTCTTCACAATCCTCTGGAAAATGTTCCAATCTCCTCTGAATCTCTGGTCTGACAGTAATAATCTTTGTTTGCATTAGCCTGTCTGCCCATTCGATTTTATGATATCTGTTTCATGTGCAGTATGTCACATAAGATAATCTGTTTTGGTTTGCATCAGACTCTGAAGGAGGGAATATACACAGTAAAGAGTAGATAGGACTGTGTTACTATTGCTAAAGACTTAACTCTTAATTTTATGCATCATAGCTCATGGTTGTTCTTGTTATTTATTCCAGTTAAATATTCCAGGTTTTGTAACTGGA